TTCACGCAATCAGAGAATACAGCAATTATTAGTTATCAGTCTCGCCCTCGTTTTTTTGTGTGTGTTGCATGGTTATGTGATTTACGCCGACTGTTTTCTGATACCTCAACATACAGTAGCATAACGGAGAAATGTATTGATCACATAGCATTAATGTGAAGAGTAGTCACCAATCTCCCCTTCGTTTTTTTATTTTCTTATCCTTTGTATGTTTGAAATGTTTATATAAAAACAATAAGTTGTCTATCACCGATCTGTCTCGTGTATCACAACAAAACAATACAACTTTTTTCACGACTTTAGAATTAAGTGACATTTACGGACAGAATCATCAGATCCCCTCACTTTTGTGATAATTCCTGAGCCTATGTTTGGTCTTAAATACATAGGTGATTTTGGAATCTTTCCAACCAATTTAAGTTTCCAAGGTATGCATATAAATATAATGTGTTCGAATGTATCCAATTTTTTCTTCGGGTTACCTCAAAGGTAAATTATAATGAGTGACAAAAAAGGTGAACACCAACGTATATTTATTAGAATTCAAGAATTTTTTACATATCGATTTATACTGCGATAAAATGGTCAGGTTTTTCTGTTAAGTTTTTGTGGTGTCTGCGTGTGTTGTTTGGTGTTAAAGAAGCATTCAGTTTTCGTAGATTTACGGTGCCAGTTAAATGTTAAATTTCGTGTAGCTTATTGAGGAGCCTTTTTGTGATTGGTCAGAATGCCTAGAGTGCGTTGAATTGACAGGGTGCCCCAGCTAAGTGAGAGGGGGTCGAATTGTCGGGTTGCGTGAAGCCAGTCCATCGATAAGAGAAGTTTCTAGGAGGACCAACAGATCATTAGGCAGTATCCTGCAGTGTGAACGAGCGTTGACTCAGGAAGGCCGAGGACAGCGAGCGAGGGGTTCTGGACGTCACACAGCGGCAAGACCGCTGGTTAAGACTTCTGGCTCTGAGAGACAGATTCAGTAGTACTCGAGCCATCGCTAACCGGTGGTTTAAAGAGCATGGAAGGATGGTTGTAGGCGTACGATATATCGCCGAATACGACAGTTTGGTCTTTTTTCTTATCGCCCACATTGGGTACTACCTCTCACAGCTGAACATCGGCGTGACCGTTTGCTCTGGTGTAGAGAAAGAATTCTATGGGGTCTTTAGTGACGAATCCCGCTGGGGATGCACGATGCAAGACTGAGGCGATGTGGTGAAAATTTGACAGAGAGCGTCACGTTCACCACACCGTGGGAGTTATGGTATGGGGTGCTATTGCTTATGGTAGCAGATCACCACTAACTTTGGAGTGGAGCCTCATCTTATTCCATTCCTAAACACCATCGAAAACCCGATTTTTCAGCAAGACAATGCCATCAGCATCACATGCACCGTTTACCCTGGCCACCACGATCGCCTGACATATCTGCATTTGAACATGTCTGGGACATTGTAGGTCGCAGGCTCTTGCATTTGCATCCACAGACTTTAGCAGCTCTTACTCACGAAGTTGCAGTAGCCTGGAGTGAGATACCCGAACAGGATATCGACCACCTTATCAGCACGATACCCAGTCGTGTCAACGAGTGTATAAGAAATCGTGGACCCTCAACACATTATTGAACCAGCTGCAGTCAGTTGACGAATCCAGCTGAAAATTTAATCATTTTACTGGTAAGCGACACTAAACATATATGCCAATAATTATTAAAATCGGATAAACATCCGTAGATGTTTACCTTTTTTGTCACTCGGTAATATTGCATATTTGGCTATAAAGCATAACCGGTATTGTTTATCTTTTCAGCTCTGATTCCAGTCTCTCAGTATCAGAACAAACGTTAAACTGTAGACCACGAAAAGAATGTTGTGATTGAGAAATCATTAGTAGTGTTTAAACTTTTGTCTACAGAACGTTCTTGAAGCTGGTATTTTCCTTTGCATGACGCATAGCAAATACACGCAAATTCTCCTTAACATATATAAAAGTCAGGGTAAACGCGATATGTTTAGAAAAAATCTGCGCTAAAAATTGCTTACTAAGAGAATCTCAACCTTTAAAGTGCATTGAATAAAGTTTTCTTGTAAAAGGAAACCTATTTTTCTTTAAAACATGAATGTTTTTGAGCATTTAGATGTTCTACAACCTTAATTACATTTACAAAAATAGTCATGTCACAGACTTAGTTAAAGTCAGATCGGATGACATGCCGTAGGCTAAATTAAGACAGATTTTTTTATGAAAGAACTTATTTGAGTATGCTTCCTGTAAACTGCAACTGTTATATTTGCAATTATAAATCCGCTTAAGCTGTGGGAGTGTCGGCAAAGATATGGATACCTTAAGCACGTGTCAATTTAGCCCTCGACTTTCTTCAACAAACAATCTTCACTTGTTCACTATGTACACTTTATACAAACAGCACATCATACTATACAAAACAAAACGAAAAATATATATTGTTCAACACTCACGACTTCTTAGGCCATTAGAACCATATATACACTTCCTTGATATGAATACGTTGTTTGTTAAATAATCTATAGCCCAAGCCCCATCTGCATATTTGGCACAGGTATTGTGTCATCTGCAGAAAGATATTTACATAAAAGTTCTATGTCTAGAAATACTTGTGGTTATTCCACCTTAAGCTTGAAGTTGACCCTGATTCTTAAGTTTAATTTCAAAACGAAGTAGATTTTTAGTTATCCGATTAGAAACCCTTCAAGATTCAAGTAGGATTCTTCTCAAGCTTTACATGACTAACCGTCAGATGTGGTGATTTGGCTTGCACCTGTTTTTTAAGGTCAGTTCGATGTCAATTGAAATTAAACAACAGAAACAAGTATGCCGCTTCATAAGACAACAAAGAAGCGAAATGAAAGAACTAGTTGAAATAGAACACATAAAAGAGGATACATGGGTGGCCTTCCTGACAGAAATGTTTAAAAAAGAAAAAGAAGAATCTTTACCAGAAACGCCAAATATAATAACTGATGAAAAGACCGAAATCTCCCAAGATGTGAAACAAGGAATAAATAAATAAAAAAATAGAAAGTCACCAGGAGAAGCTCAAATACTAAATGAACTCTTAAAATATGGAGATGATTACCTTGGATAACAACTGCAACTACTTATTCAAAAAATAATCGCCACGAACAGAATACCAGATGAGTGGAGGAGAGCGATCATGCTGATGTTCTTCAAGAAAGGAGATAAGAAAGACCCCAATAATTATCGAGCAATAAATCTGTTAAATACAACACTCAAATTGACAACAAGAATAATAGCGACAAAAATAAACGAACGCATAACTCTGCAAGAGGAACAGCAAGGATTCCGGATAGGAAGATCATGCCCGGATGCAGTTTTTGTAAAAAAGATGAAAGAAAAGTCGCTGGAATACAACAAACCAGCATATATCTGCCTGATAGATTTGAAGAAAGCGTTTGATAGAGTGAGAATCCTGGACTCGATACATTTATTATATGACAGGGGATTTAGTAAAAACGATTGAGAATATATAAGGTAACATAGCTATGGTAAGATGTAAAGGAAAAATCTTGCAACCTATCAAGTATGAAACTGGCATTAGACAAGGAGAGTCGCTGAGCCCACTAATATTTAATCTGATAATGAATGAAATCAGAAAGAAAGTTAAAATAAACATGTGGACCAAAAGAAGAAAAATAGAATGGAATCAACACATAGAAAGAATGACAGAAAATAGAACAGCACGAATAGCAAGAGACAAATCGCCAAATGGGTAAAAAGATGGGACGACCGAGGAAAACATTGTCGGACAACATCGACTGATGCTAAAAACCGAAGTAAAACAGGCATGAGCCTATTAATAAAGTAGGAAGATATTAATGGTGAAATATTTGAGGTTCTATTTGCAAAAGCCGACTTCATTTGAAACGATCTTAAAGTTTAAGGCCAGCTGAAGAGTTAGGAAGGGTGCAGCTCATCAGCTTCGGATTGCAGGTACTTAAACTAAATATAGAGTCGAACTCCAGATTCTGTAGGTCATTTCAAAACAAAGTGCAGTGATAGAATAGATGATGACAGAATAGAACCCCTCAAGACAAATCAGGTTGGATTTTTATGAAGCTATACATGGCTGACAGATGTTGTGATTTGGCTTTCACCTGACTCTCAAGGCCATTTCGATGCCCATTGAAACCTTCATATGCATGGTGGAATATTTGAGGTTCTATTTGAAAAACCCGATTTCATTTGGAACAATCTTGAAACTTGGGTTTAGTTCAAGGTCAGCTGCAGATTGCAGCTCATCAGCTTCGAATTGCAAGTGCTTATAAACTAAAAATAGATTCTCCAGGTCATTTCAAAACGAAGTGCGTACTTAGTTGTTCGAACAGAACCCTTCCAGACAAATCAGGTTGGATTTTCATGAAACTATAAGTGGCTAACTGTCAGATGTGGTGATTTGGCTTTCATCTGACTCTCAAGGCCATTTCGATGTCCATTGAAATTAAACCTTCATATGCATGGTGGAATATTTGAGGTTCTATTTGAAAAACCCGATTTCATTTGAAACAATCTTGAAACTTGGGTTTAGTTCAAGGTCAGCTGCAGATTGCAGCTCATCAGCTTCGAATTGCAAGTGCTTATAAACTAAAAATAGATTCTCAAGGTCATTTCAAAACGAAGTGCATTTTTAGTTGTTCGAACAGAACCCTTCCAGACAAAGCAGGTTGGATTTTCATGAAACTATAAGTGGCTAACTGTCAGATGTGGTGATTTATATTTCATCTGACTCAAGGCCATTTCGATGTCCATTGAAATTATACCTTCATATGCATGGTGGAATATTTGAGGTTCTATTTGAAAAACCCGATTTCATTTGAAACAATCTTGAAACTTGGGTTTAGTTCAAGGTCAGCTGCAGATTGCAGCTCATCAGATTCGAATTGCAAGTGCTTATAAACTAAAAATAGATTCTCAAGGTCATTTCAAAACGAAGTGCATTTTTAGTTGTTCGAACAGAACCCTTCCAGACAAATCAGGTTGGATTTTCATGAAACTATAAGTGGCTAACTGTCAGATGTGGTGATTTATCTTTCATCTGACTCAAGGCCATTTAGATGTCCATTGAAATTAAACCTTCATGTGCATGGTGGAATATTTGAGGTTCTATTTGAAAAACCCGATTTCATTTGAAACAATTTTGAAACTTGAGTTTTGTTCAAGGTCAGCTACAGATTGCAGCTCATCAGCTTCGAATTGCAAGTGCTTATAAACTAAAAATAGATTCTCTAGGTCATTTCAAAACGAAGCGCAGTGGTAGTTGTCCGAACAGAACCCTTCCAGACAAGTCAGTTTGGATTTTCATGAAACTATAAGTGGCTAACTGTCAGATGTGGTGATTTATCTTTCATCTGACTCAAGGCCATTTAGATGTCCATTGAAATTAAACCTTCATGTGCATGGTGGAATATTTGAGGTTCTATTTGAAAAACCCGATTTCATTTGAAACAATTTTGAAACTTGAGTTTTGTTCAAGGTCAGCTGAAGAGTTGTGAAGATTGCAGCTCATCAGCTTCAAATTGCAGGTACTTATAAACTAATAATAATTTTATTTACATATGTTCAGGTTTCAAAACGAAGTGCATTGTTAGTTGTTCGAATAGAACCCTTCAAGATAATTTAGGTAGGGCGGCTTGTCTGGAGCTACACATGTAGTGATTTGGCTTTCACGTGTTTCAATGCCAATTCGATGTCAATTAAAATTGAACTTTCATATCGATGATGGAATATGTGAGGTTCTATTTGAAAAAGCCGACTTCATTTGGAACAATCTTAAAGCTTAGGTTAAATTCAAGGTCAGCTAAAGAATTGTGAAGATTACAGCTCATCAGCTTCGAATTGCAAATGCTTATAAACTAAAAATAGATTTTCAAGGTCATTTCAAAACGAAGTGCATTGGTAGTTGTCCGAATAGAACCCTTCAAGATTATTCAGGTAGTATTTTTCTGAAGCTATACATGGCTAACTGTCCGATTTGGTGATTCCTGATTCTTAAGGCCAGTTCAGTGTCAATTGAAATTAAACCTTCATATGGATGGTGGAATATTTGCAAAAGCCGACTTCGTCTGAAACCATTTTAAACTTTATATTAAATTCAAGGCCAGCTGAAGTGTTGTGAATGTTGCAGCTCATCAGCTTCGAACTGCAGTTGTTTATAAACTAAAAATAGTTCCGAACTCCAGATGCGCAAGACCATTTCAAAACGACATGCACTGTCAGTTGTCCGAACCGAACCCTTAAAGATAATTCAAGTCGGATTTTTCAGAAGGTATACATGGCTAACTGTCAGATGTGGTAATTTGGCTTTATATGTGAGGTTCTATTTGGAAAAGCCGAATGACTTCATTTCATAAAGAGTTGTGACGAGCTTCGAATTGCAGATACTTATAAACTAACTAAAGAATTTTTTGTTTTTTGTGTTTTTGTTTGTTTTTTGTTTTTTGTTTTTTTAGTTGAAAAATCTACAAATGGTATTAGAAATTAAATGCTAAAAATATACAAATTTAAGTCAAGCGCGTATTTACATTGCACATTGGATTCAAAAAGAAAGTCTAATATGAACCTATATGAGCAATTTTGAATTCTAACGAATAATAGTCCATATTCTGCTAAAAATGCAATTGGCTTTTTTTGCAGAAAATTCTCTATTTCGCAATACTCCAAAATCGTTCTCAATTTTTCTTTTCTTATTATTGAAGAATGATATCCTTATATAACATTTCGAAAACTATACCACCTTTCTGTTCCAACGCGCACTGTAAATCAAAATATTAAAATTTGGGTTAGTTCTACAAACAACTATCCCTAAACCATCCTGATAATGAGCAGTGAAGTTCTGGTCCAGAGTTCTCACATCCGCAACGGCCGCAGAGAGGATCGGAACGGTTCTAAAATAGTTCCTTGTAAAACTCGAAGCGGATGACACAATACCATAAATAACCTTATTCTTTAATTTTGTACTTTATACCATCTGGTTCATGTAGTCTAAACTACAGTCAGCTGGATGCCTGGGGCTGAAGTTCTGGTGATGGGAAGCAGCAGCGGACATGGCGTATCCGCCCACTGGGTATGCGCCGCCCATTTGGTATGAGCCACCCATTTGGTAAGAGCCGCCCACGTGGTTGCCCACCTGCATCTGGTTCTGGGTGCTTTGCTGGTTGAAGTACTCCATCTGGCTGTAGTACGCGTGGTTGTAGTTCTGGCCATAGTAATGGTGGGGTGAGGAGTTGTGACCATTCGAGTGAAGGTTGTAGTTGATGGAGTTATACCCGTCATGTTGGTAGCTCAGCGCTGGGTTACTGACAGGTGTCATGGGTGGTGACGGGGTGGTCATAACGCTTGAAGTGCTGCTTCCTGTAACAACAGAATAACCACAATTGGTTATTTTGCTTAAGAAACTCTAAGATATTATGACAAACAGATTGGTAGAACTTTCCACAAACAGATACATATTACGTACAGGGTGTAAACGTTATGGTAGTAATTATTGAAATGGATAATAGGAAGGTTAAAAAAAGTCAAAAAGTTCATATGACCCATGGTCCAAATGTCAATAGTTTTTGTCTAAATGGCTTAATAGTTTACAACTTTATATCGACCACAATCACCACAATCTTAAAATTTTTTATAATCTAACCTAAAACGTTTTTAAATTGGGTGATTAACAAATAAATGGCATCAAGTTTTTCTAAGTTAAGCCAAAACTTGTAGTCAGTAAGTAAGTAAATTTCATTAAATTAAATATTTGAAACACACTCTTATCGAACCGGCAATCGATCGCAAACGGTAAGAGTGGTTAGTTATCGGGCATCCGACGTGTTCTGTTTTTGTTCGCGTACGTCGTCGTGTTTGTTTACAATGTTCTCGAATCAAGAGTTCGCCGACATGTTGTTACTTTACGGTGAAGCTCGTCAGAATTCAAATGTTGCAGCTCAAATTTATCGCGACAGATTTCGCCAACGGGTACACCCAGACAGAAGGACATTTGTGCAAGTGTTCCAAAAACTTCGAGATACAGGAAGTGTTCAGCAGACTAATATTCGCACTCGTGAAAGACAGGTTACTGTAGAGCAGGAAGAACAAATTTTAAATATCGTGGAAATCAATGCAGATATCAGCACTCGGGAATTAGGCCGCCGCGTAGGACTATCGCATACCATAGTGCATAGAATCCTACGGAAAAATTTATTTTATCCCTAGCATGTACAACGAGTAGACTAACATTCTGTCAGTGGTTTTTGCATAAAAACATTGAAAATCCGGATTTTTTTAAAAACATTCTAGCGACGGACGAACGTACTTTTACGCGAGACGGGATATTAAATTTCCATAATACTCACACGTGGGCCGAGGAAAATCCTCATACCATTCGTGAAGGTCATTTCCAACAACGTTTCAAAATAAAAATTTGGACGGGTATTCTTTACGTTCAGATAATTGGCCCTTTCTAGTTACCCCCAAAGTTGTCAGGACAAGGATACCTTAGCTTCCTAGCCAATAACCTACCAGAAATTTTGGAACAGACCTTAGACAACATGCCATTACAACGGAAACAGAATTTGTGGTTTTTTTCATGACGGGGCACCACCACACATTTTTAGAGGCGTCATTAAGTATTTGAATGAACATTATCCAAATCGCTGGATCGGTCGAAATGCTCCTGATCCTCGAAAATGGCCAGCAAGATCTCCTGACCTCAAGCCGATGAATTTCTGGTATTGGGGAGAACTTAAAGGGATGGTTTATGCGGCTGGTCCAATAACAACTGAAGCACAACTTCGCGAATAAAATTTTAATGCGGCTGTAATAATAGCAAGAGATGCATGTATCAATATATACATTTTTCGATATTGAAGCGTTTTCTTTATCCGCATTATTCGATAAGAAATACACTTTTCTGTCCTACCTCGACATATAACAGAAAGTATTATACTGGACTTCACCTCGTCGCCAACCTGCGAAGTTTATTCTTTCATTGCACATTCACAGACAAACGGTCATATCTTGTGTAGCGGCAAAAACTAAGAACCTTTATTCATTTATTCAAGTTTTCAGCTACTATTTCAAACAGTAGCTTCAAACGTGCTGTTTGTGAAACTTTTAGAACACCTTGAATTTTTGTTTAAATTTTGGTTGAACTTACCAAGAGGGGTGAGGTTGCCGTTGTTCCTGTAGCTCTGTAGTTGGGGTGACTGCTCCTTCTTCACGTTGACCATAGGCGGTGAGGCTGATGTGGAAGGCGTAGGAATATTTACAGGAGGCGCAACTGCAGCGTTGGACGTAGTTGGTACCGACACCGGAGATCTTTTGCCAGGTTTCGGCTTTAGACCAGCAGAACACGACTTAGAATCAGGTTTATTCTGCTGCTGCTGTATTTGCTGACGGCACTTAGCACGCCTGTTCTTAAACCACACCTGGAACAACAGAAATATAGTTTAGTATAGATAAGAAAAAAAAACACAAAAACAAAATGGAACTCAAAATGCAAAGATACTCAGCACCCCCATCTTAACTATTCGCACATGCCAGGAATTCCGATTTTAACTAGCTTAGGAACAGAAGACTATTCTTAATAAAAATGCCAAGGGAGTTTCTTCCTGATGGTAGATGTCAGTGGCAATTCATTTAAAAAAAGGTCTAATATTTCTGGGCTACTCCAGTTCGGTATACTTACATGTCAATACATGCTAATTGTGGCTTTTTAGTGGGGCTATCAAAAATCAAAATTTCGAACCTGTACGGCGACACTAAAACAAATGCGATATTCTTGTTTTTTATGACCTCCGATATACAAAGGATGCCATAAATGTCTTGATGCGTTTTTTATAAATTATTCCATAAACGTTTTTCCAAATCGAAAGCACAATATCTGAACCAAAACAGCGTTTGGTTACCCGAAACTAACATGTCATGTCAAAACAGATTCAACCCCCCTAACAAAAGGGCTTGTTTGTCGTCTCTGACCTAGGCCATTCAATATATCAGCCTATTAGTAACCGCATATGCTTCACTGTTGCATCGATCTGTGAACCGAGGTCGTAGTCAACGTGAAGTCTTTAAAGGGACAGCATGAGTATCATACGATGAAAACAAAGGTAGATTTATTTTTTCGAAGAAGTATGGTTTCACAAATGAGGTTCGAATTGACAACCACCTGTGTTCTTTTACGAATTTAGTCCTATGGGAGACGTGTAAATGCATCAAACATACAAATTATCATATTCAATTAGTACATTATTTTCACAAACTCTTACAAACAGAAACAAAAAATGCTATGCTCGAACGGAAGTTTCGGCATTTTTTTTTCCAAATTCGGAAATAGAATAGCACCTATTGTAATTTCTTAATACACACCATACAATCAATATCAAACTTCACTTACTCCAACATATTTTCTAAGTAGGACGGGTTGAAGCTTTTTCTGTGGACTTTAGCACAAATAGTAAAACGATTCTTTATACAATTGGAGTAGTCTGACCAAAAATTTCTCAGCAGAGGATCGTTTAAGCTTAAACAATGAAAACATTATTTAAATAAAAAAGGTGCCAAATACGTTGTCTCTGCACTTTTTCATGGAATGCTGTCATCAGGTCATAAAAATCATGTTAGCTTCTTTCAGAAATACGTCGACTACGTACTGTATAACAAATGAAGGGTACCGCGGAATAACGACAATAGTCCATCCGGACTGATTTGGAGAAAATCGGCAATTAAGGTTTACTTACTTGTTGGAAACGCAAATTGACGAAAAAATAAGTCGTAAAGAATATATTTAATAAACAGTATGTTTATTGGTAAAATAGATTTTAGCAATTAACTTTTACTCAAAACTAGTAACGTAACAAACAAAAGACGATATTCAACTCTGGACTCGTGCCACTTTTCTCCTGCTTTAAGCGTCTATTGGCGGGTCATCGATATATTCATCTTGCTGTCTTCTGGATTATCAAGAGATATTAACTGTTGATAAAATGCTCTGGAATCTGCTTTCTCTAGAAATTTGCTCAGATCCTGCAGATCCTGCCATTTCTTACTTTTAATTGGGGTTGGGCCCTGGTAAAGTTTTCTCAATGTTTCCTCTTCCGTTTTTGTTGATCTTTTTGCGTCTTTTTAGATTCTTTCGACTTACCTTATCAAATTTAGAACTAGCATATAGGCCCATGTATGTCGATTTGTGAAAAACTACGCGAGGATTCTGTTTACAAACCTTAAGCATCCTGACTGGTCGGGTTGGAAAGGGGCACTTCGTTGGATAAAACGGAGATAAAAACGTACTCCAATCTGGAAAATCAAAATTTTTGCCACAATCAATGACTTCAAATGGTGTAGGTTTCACACGGCAATTTTTCAGTTCATCTCTCCAGTCATCCGGTACCTCAGTGTATGCTCTTTGGTTCACGAGACTCATATCTCTATCACATTCGAGGTATGAATGCCCCCTGATCGGGAATATCACTTTCACAGTAGTAAAACGATTTTTCATGGTAACCAAGTAATGCAAAAACCGAATAACCGTAAAGTTTTTATTTTGCCCTGCACAGGAGTTACAGAAAATGGTAAGTTCTTTTACTTCCATAGGCAGGATGTTATAAAAAAAGTGATACAGCATAGAACCGACATCGTCAGCTCCTTTCTTAGCAATAGATTCATCATCGGTATAAAAGATAGAATTTGAGTCTGACAGAATGTGGATGTTAAAACTGATGAAATTTAGTTGCCGCTTATAGTAAACATCATTTGTCGTGATATTTGGACAGGGCAAGTTTTTTTTTGGTAATCCATCGTGATACTTTCGATAGCGGGGAACTTCGAGGCACGTTTGCGGTAAGTTCTCTATAGACTGTAAAATCGGTCACTCCTTTCTTGATATAGTTAGGGTCTTCTCAAGTGTATTTTCCTCCAAATTATTACTTGCTGACTGCCTAGTTTGTTCCGTGTGGGAATTTAATGCAGCGGTAAGTGAAGATATATCAGCTTTTAAGGAATTACACGTACTACAAGTATCTTTTCATGGATAACCGAACGATATATTGAAGTTGTTTTCAAAGATTTCTCGGAAGGATTCATAGGAAATGTTGTTTTCAACTTTGCCAATAGAACACATTTTGTATAATTTTGCAATATTTAGATTTTCATGTAGGTAAACTTTTTGCGAATCTTCCAAAAAATAATGAGATTTGCGGCATTTGAGGCTCTTAATAAACTTGGTCACTTTCTGTTTTGTGTTTTCTGAAAGCTTGTGAAGCCGTGTGCTGTTTTTCACGCATGTCGATGGGCGATTTCCCAGTTGCAACTAATGAGTCTTATGTACCGAACTGGACAAAGTATAATTCCGTGTAACGACAAAAAAGTCTTAAAACAAACTGGAACATCACGTACAATTCCATTTTCAACCAATCGGACACGATAACTAAATGAAGCATTATTAAGCCTTGACTCTGCTTCATTTTTTCGAGGGCGTCTACGCATGACAGGAAGAACAGTGATAAGACCAATAGGATAAGCGTTTTGTGCATTAGTGCTTCCTAGTTCATTAAATTCACGAAGAAGTCTACAGCGTTCAGATCCAGGAACAGTAGACAACGAAAACGTTCACAAAAACAATCAGATCCAAGTTCGTGGGTAGTGGCGCGCAACGTTTTCATTACGTCTCTTTGTCTTCCTGTTTCCATATGGACTTATGCCGTTTTTCCACACACGCGCAGGGACTCATGTCATTCTTCCCCGGCACAGGGAATCTTATAGCTGTTGTTTTGTGAACCTAGGCCCTTTTTACAATTCAAGAAGCTGATTACAAGATAGCATCAGGAAAATGCCACCAAAATAAACCTCAATTTAGCCAAATAATGGACTAATGCCGTTTTTCCCCGATACCCTTCAAATGGATTAAATGGATGAAGTTAATCAGGCCTATACAATTTCGTCCCCAGTTCAAAGCTATTTGATGGTAGTAGTGTGAAAATTTCATAAAAATCGGAACAGTACTTTCCAAGTTATGGACGGGCCAAAGATTAGCGGAGAGACCGACAGACAAACAGACCGATGAGTGCGTGGTATTTCATGACGCACATGTTATATAAGATCCAGGAAAAACATACCATATCATTTGAGAAATTTTTCGCGATACAATTCTTTCTCGCCAGTAGTATAAGTATTTCGAAAAAGTCAGTGGTCTTCAAAACTTAACTTTCAACAACATGTATCTCGGTAGGGGAACATTTTAGGACCCATATTTATAAGAAGTTTTCGTGCCTTTTTGGATCAACTTTCTACGCGAGAAATATTGCCTTAATTCTCTGAAACACCCGGTATATCGCCTTAAGATTTTTCCGTTTACAAGCGCTGGCACACAGTATCCTACTTTGTTTAAAATCCCGCCTCTTGCCACCCATCTACGCCCGTGGTTTGAAAGAGAATTATTTGCGGCAAGCATAATACGTAGGGCGGTGTGTTTGCCCTTTGCACACTGCTGTCGGTAATGATTCAATCCGGTGGCGGCCGCGTAGGCTTCAAGGGCCTAACAGCAGCAGCTGGCTGGACCCAATGTTTGTGTCCTTACTGACCTATAGTCCAGGAAAATCAGCTCTTGTCATTAAAGAAGGTTCTGCAACTCGACCAACGTGTAATAAAAGTCGTTTATTTTGCTTATTTTGAGCCATAGAGAATAACATTCGTATAAGTATTATTCATTAGCATAGAGCTGCAATGATATGTACACATTTGCAAACTGATTAAAAAAATGCAGTCAAGTATACTGTACATGTATAGATGCGAGACAATACCTCGGCCACAAATTTCTGAATGATAAAGCGTCTTTCACGGATTTCAAACATGCAGCATTCACAACCTCCTGCCCCCAACAACCGCGAACATCCAATTTTCAATGCCTACAATTTTTTTTTCTGAAAATAATCAAGAGCCTCTGAAACATCAGAAAGCGAAATTTGAGCAATATTTTTTTTTTCGTTTTTTGGCCCCAGCAGGTAATTGGCCCTTTCGAGTTACCCTCAAAATTGCCAGGAGAGCGATACCTTAGCTTTCTAGCCAATAACCTACCAGAACTTTTGGAACAGACCTTAGACAGCATGCCATTACAACGGAGACAGAATTTGTGGTTCCTTCATGACGGGGCATCACCACTTTTAGAGGCGTCATTCAGTATTTGAATGAACATTATCCAAATCGCTGGATCGGTCGAAATGCTCCTGACCCTCGAAAATGACCAGCAAGATCTCATGACCTCAATCCGATGGATTTCTGGTATTGGGGAGAACTTAAAGTGATGGTATATGGGGTTGGTCCGATAACAACTGAAGCACTACTTGAAGAAAAAAAATTAATGCGGCTGAAATAATAAATGGACAACTTCGAGGACCTAGAATAAGAAGAAACTGGGTTTGTCGTAATGAAGCTT